TCAAGCTATCTTGATCAAACTCGGTCTCTAGATCAATTTGGCATCTTAAGCTGACAACATTATTCCTGGTCAAAATGCATGTAAAAACTGATACCCTCAAATATTCTATATGGTCAAAATGTCCCAGCCCCATAACTCGATAAAATCTGATCAGATTTCCAAGAGGCTTAGCACTTTGTCCATTTTTTCACCCAAAATGGTGGAACATAAGCGAAAGTATATATTATTGAAATTCATTCACCAAATTTAATTGTTTGTTCTCAAAATTGACAATTAAAGAGCATAAATTGAGTGCAAATGCAATATGGGAATAGCTGAGCGACAATTTTAAGCAAGGCCAGATTATGGCAGCTGCTTAGATATAAGACCTTAATGCATTTCTACCGCTTGGCAAATATCATTAATTATGTAAATCATTCGGAATAATGGTTTATTACACGGCACACGCGACACGTTTTGCGTTTGTTACAATTTTATAGGTCAATTTTGGAGCTTGTTAGAATTTATGAGGATTATCTTATCGAAAAAAAAAAAAAACACTCTTGAATAAAATGAACGCAATGTAAATATTTAAGATAATCAAATTTGTGTGAAGTGGAAAGCGAAATATATATATTTTTAAAAATACAAAATATATATTCTTTAATTGGGAAAAAATGAGAAAGTATATAGCCGGCACACCGAAGATTTAATACCCTTTTAGACATTTGCCTTACGCTTAACTTGCTGCATTTGGGGGAAATATCGTGAAGAACTCGATCTTGATAAGACTTGATTCAGGTATTAGATAGTTAGATAATAAATGAGGATTTGGTCAAGATATCTTGATATGCAAAAATGTTTTTCATACAAGAACCTCATTTTCAACGGATCGTTCCTATAGCAGATATATGATATAGTTGTCGGATGTTAAGTAGAACATAGTGTAACTAAGGAATGCCGAGCTTGGCCAAGATATCGTCGTAAGCACATCAGTTTTCTAGCTATAACCTACTTTGGATCGATCGTGGTCCGATCTGGACCTAAGACTGAGAGACTAGACACACGGACGGATGGACATGCTGATGCTGATCTTGAATATATATATATATACTTTATAAGGTCGAAGATGTTTACTTCATTGCATTCGTGATCAGCATTAATTGACGAGTCTATATAGTCTGTCCATCTATTTATGTTGAAACTTGAAAGTTATTTTATATAGAAATCGGCTGGATCGAAAGACTATATATAGAAACGATCGGTGGCAAACGAAGTGCATGCATGAAAACCTTTGTTGCTAACAAGAAAATCTTTCATTCCATAACGAAACAGAAAGTTTGTCTGCATCGGACTACTACATCATATAGCTTAAAGGCAAAAAGTCGGCCGATCAATCAGTTTTTCGATTAACAACTCTAAAAAAATTGTTAATATTGTCTATAAAGTTGTTGAATATATTTTGCTAATGATATTTGTAATAATTTGTTGGTTAATAGTAAAAAAAAAATGTGTTGGATTGAAATTGTACACGAATCGAACTGTTTCAGGGTGAAGACATTGGTTCAAACCACGAGCCGAACCAGCAGCCTGGCTAGAAACAGATGCCGTTGCCTACAGCTGCAGCACGAGGGGCAAGATCAGCAGCAGGCACAGAATTGAAATGGATGTAGCACCACCTGCAGCACCTGCAACACCTGCAACACCTGGAACACCTGGAACCACAGTGCTGGCATTGGGTGTACTGCCAGCCGGAGCACGCATAGTCACAGGCTGGAGATGATTCAAGTTGTGCGTGCTGGGCAGCTGGCTAAAGTAATTGGCCCAAATGCCAAAGGTCAACAGGTCGTTCTTGGGCAACAGCAGCTCCAGCTGGATGTGTGTGGCCAGCAGCTGCTTGGCCGGCGGCGATTCGGTCCAATTGAACTGCGACACGCTCAGCGGCAGCATGGTGCCGTCCAAGGTGCTGGGCATGATGAGGCGACGTGTCGCCGCTGGAAAGTGGCCCTCAATGCGTATGCGCTCGAAGTAGTAGCGATTGGCCACATCGATGTGCTTGGGATAGATGCGACCGCAGCTGCTCAGCTGCTCGTCCAAGCAGGCGAAGAGGGCGCACACCGCCAGCTCGCTGCGGTCGACCAGAATGAGAGCGGTGCGATTGCCCAGATAAACGCCGAGACGGTAGCGGTATGAGGCATAGCTGGTGGAGCTGGAAATGGGGCGACGCTGCAGCTGGAAGCTGCAACAGAAGTTGCCGTGGCACAAGCGCTGCGTCACATTCTGAAACTCCGCCTCCAGCAGGCGCGTGCTAAATATATCCACATTGTAGTCCCTGTAGGTGGCGAGCTCTGTGTAGCGTCGCGTCATCAGCTGCGGCTCGAATCCGGGCACCACCTGCGCCGGCAGCTCGGGTATGCTGCCGTCGACCCCGACCCCGATCCCGCCCCCTTCCGTTATGTGCGTACGTTTGGGCACATGCGCCTTGAGCAGCTGCAGCGTGGGCTGCTCATGGATGACGGCAGCAAGGCGGCCAGCACGCCCCGCATAGATGCCGGAGCCGGTGGTACGGCCGGAGGGTTGACTGGCATCGGCAGCCAATAGATTCACATTGTTCGCATACGCCCAGCCCTCCTGCAGCTGGACTGCGCCCAAGAATGGCAGCTCCGAGAACCAATATGTCGGATAAATTATGTCCGTCACATTGCGTTCGAGCAGCAGCTGCATTGCCGGCTCATAGAACAGCATGTCAAAGCATATGAAATGACCAAAAGTGACACCGAAATCCGTCTCGAATGTGGCCAATTCCGGCTGTCGCATGGTGGCACGTGTATAGTATTCCCGGCGCCAGAGATGGCTCTTGCGATATCTGGAGACGACGCGTCCGCTGCGATCCAGCACGATGTTCGTATTGAAATATCGATAGCCCGCGGCCGGACACGGATTGAGCGTATCGGAGCCGTAATTATCGCCGCACAGCTCCTTCTCGACCACATTGATCACGACATAGATGCCGCGCGAGCGCGTCGCACAGGACAGCTCCACCAGGAACAGCTCGTAGTCCGGCGAATAGCAGGGCGTTATATTCTGTGCCGGATGCGGCACAAAGGTGGCCATATCCAGATTACTCAGCACAGACTCGGGAAAGACAAGTATATCGAGATCAGCCGTATCGTTCGACTCCAATATGGCCACAAATCCCGCCGTGGCCTTTGTGGTGCGCTCCCTCGGGGTGCCCGTCTCGTCCGGATATTCCACAACGCCGGCATGGTAAGTGTTATCGGTGGGCAGCGATAGCTGTAAGAAAATCGATAAGTATCGATTCAATGACGGCAAAACAAATGAGAAGAACAACTAATTATTCGCTCTATATGATCCGTGGGACTAGGTATAGCTATGCTCTGAAAATTTCATAAAGATCGGACAATAAGCACCGAAGTTATTCAAGAACAAGCTCGAATTGCCGACTCTTCTGTCCGTGTTATCGCCAGGATTTAATGGCCACTCACCTGGCTGGTGCCCGCCAGCAATGTGGCCAAGATAAGCAGCTGTAAAACGTGAATGTACATCTTGTGGCAAAGGCCAAGCAAAGACTGATATTTGCGTCATCTGGCGTCGACCACGAAGCCTCGTCAAAGAGGCTTGCTCTGTGAAGATCAGGGATTTGTGTGCTGTTTGCCATAAAAGTGACATTGCATTTTTATGGCTCGTAACGCGAATAGCCCCTAAATTATACCATCAGCATTTTATTTTGTTGCTGATAAAGAGTTGGTGAAAAGAGTTGAACCTTGATGCTTCAAAAGCACTTGAGATTATTGTCGATATTTGATTTGGGATCATCTTATCATTGTATCAATATTTTTATCATAGCCGAAAACACTTTTATTATTTCTAATTTTAGTTGTGTTTGTTATCTTTAAACTTAATTTTGAATGTTTTCCTTCTTCGTCCAACAGGTGTTATATCTTTATCTATTGTTTTATTTTTACAAGCATTTAAGCCATGTGCGGCATGTTATCTTGACGTTACAATTTAAATGCCAATAAATGCATTTGAATATGTAAATATCATTTAATACTATGTGAACATATATTTGCATATCTTTTCAGCCGTTACATATTAATTTCAAATAAATACGGAACATATGGCAAGGCTGCAAAATGTTGCTACAGTGAGAAATTCCCATAAAGTATATATATATTTATTGCCGTTACATTTGAATTTCAAATAAAAACAAACTATTTTAAGGCAGGTGGCAACGATGCAAAAGTTTGGCATTTTTCAGTTGCTGCTGTGTGAAATGCCATTGGGTATGTTTATATTTATTGCCGTTACAATTGAATTTCAAATAATAACAAACTATTTTAAAGCAGGTGGCAACGCTGAAAGCATTTTGGTATTTTTCAGCTGCTGCTGTGTGCAAAACCCATTGGGTATATGTATATTTATTGCCGTTACAAATATAGCCCAACAATTTTAATGCAGGTGGCAACGCTGCAAAAGTTTGGCATTTTTCCGCTGCTGCTGTGTGAAATGCCAGTGCGTATATATAAACATTTACTGCCGTTACATTTGAATTTCAAATAAAACCAAACTATTTTTAAAGCAGGTGGCAACGCTGCAAGCTTGGAAAACGCCTTTGGCATTTTGTAGCCCTAAATTGCTGACGTTCGATAACAAAATGTACTTGTTATCGAACAAAAGCGAGGCCCGCATTGATTTCAGCTGTTCGTCAACCAAAACAATAACAGCGGCAGCAGCGGTAACAGTAACAGTAACAGTAAAACCGCGCCGCATACTGACCAAAAACAAAAAAAGGGAAAAAGCAACAAATTAATTGCATGCACACAAGTGCAGCAAATACGATATAACTAGAAAATTGACAACTGCAAGCGTTAAAGTCGGCGAAGTTGCGTCTGACATTGAAGGTCATTCCATTCAAATGCGTTGACCAAGACGGCGAAGAGAGAGAGAGAGAGAACGAGAGCGAGAGCGAAGGCCGGAGAACAAATAGCAACAACAACAACTAAATATATATATGTATATTAATAGGCAGGTTTGTGCTTTAAACAAATGTGTGCTTGTTTGTGTGTGTATTGCTTGAAAATTAATTGATTTATTCCACGAAATGCAAAACGCGGCATGACACAACAGATTTAACTGGAGAACAACAACAAAAGCTGAGGCAACACTTAACCAGATAATTGTAATTTCGACAAGTCAACGAAACAGTTAAACGGTAAGTTTCACGGCGTCCTTCACATACGCACATATGTGTGCTGTGTGTGTGTGTGTGTGCGTGTGCCCGGCTAGCCGAAGCGCGCCTTATCAGCTGCTTGCCAGACGACACCGAATGCCGGCGACGGCAACGCTGCTGATAAGACGCACAAAATCGCTGCTCATCATTAGCCAACAGTTCGAGGCTATCAACTAATCCCCTCCACCCTCTCTCTCTCTCTCTCTCTCTCTCTCTCTCTCTCTCTCTCTCTCTCTCTCTCTCTCTCTCTCTCTCTCTCTCTCTCTGTCACTCTTACAGTCCCCACGGCAGACTCACCATGGCGCTGAATATGAAGGCTCTGCTTGCCATGCTCCTTGTCTTTGTCGGCTGCTGCAGCAACGTCGTCTTTCTGGAGCTGATCATCAAAATAGATCCCGGCGCGGGCAATCTGATCACATTCCTGCAGTTCCTCTTCATTGCGCTGGAGGGTCTCATCTTTACCTCCAAGTTCTTCACGGTGCGTCCCAAGATCGCGCTCAAGGATTACGTCAAGCTGGTGGTGCTCTTCTTTGGCGCGAATGTGTGCAACAATTATGCGTTCAACTTCAACATACCCATGCCCCTGCACATGATCTTCCGCAGCGGCTCGCTGATGGCCAACATGATCATGGGCATCATATTGCTCAAGAAGCGCTACAATCTGAGGCAATACAGCTCCGTGGCCATGATCACAGTGGGCATCATACTGTGCACTCTGGTCTCCAGTGGCGATGTCAAGGATAATACGCATCATTCGCTCAAGGTGGAGACCTCCTACTCGGACTTTTTCTGGTGGAGCGTGGGCATTGCTCTGCTCACCATCGCCCTGCTGGTCACCTCCTATATGGGAATCTACCAGGAGATCATCTACAAGCACTATGGCAAGCATCCCAATGAGGCGCTCTTCTTTACGCACATGCTGCCCCTGCCCGGATTCCTAATCATGGCCAGCAACATAGCCCAACACATGAACATTGCTGTCGCCTCCGAGACGATCACAGTGCCCGTGCCTGGCCTCGGCTGGTCCCTGGACTTTCCGCTGATGCTCTTCTATCTGCTGTGCAATGTGGTCACCCAGTACATCTGCATCAGCTCGGTTTATGTGCTGACCACGGAGTGCGCCTCGCTCACTGTCACTTTGGTGGTCACGCTGCGCAAGTTCGTCTCGCTGCTCTTCTCCATCATCTACTTCCGGAATCCGTTTACCCTCAGCCACTGGCTGGGCACCATTCTGGTCTTCTTTGGCACCGTGCTCTTTGCCAATGTGATTAACCAGCTGAAGGATGCCTATGCGGCGCGAGCACAACGCCAGTTGGATAGCTCCAAAAAGGACAAGCTGAAGACGGGCTAAACGCCCATCCCCAAGCGCACGCCCCCACAACCCGCACCCACCCCGTTTCCCGTCAGCCTGCTGAAGGCCATTCATGTATGCCATGCGCTGTCCCGCTCACATTCGTGTTGGCCACGTTCTGTTTCTGTTTCTGCTTCGATTTCTATTGTAGTCATATATGTATGTTGTAAATAGCGTTAGTTAAGCTAATACCGACTATATTATACCCTGTAAGCCATGCCCTTGACGCTATACGTACTCTGTACCCCCTAACTTGTAGCCTGTTTCCCTTTTATGTAACGTTTGTTTTTTTATTCTTTGATGATAAAGTAGTTTTAGGCAACACTTTTTTTTTTAAATAAAAGAGAAACCAGAAAAGAAAATACTCCTTCAACCTGCCCCCTTTTCTCTTATTTCACTCGCTTTCCCCTCTTACCTTCTCTTCATATAATTCTCATTTTCTCACCCTCTATACCATCCCCTCTCTATTATGTTCTCTGTCTATAATACAATTTTCTTCAAAGTCCTGCTCGATCTCTTTCATATGCATACCATCCTTAGAAATCGCAGTCTCTCTCTCTATCTCTCTCTCCCTCTCTCTCTCTCCCTCTCTCTCTCTCTCTCTCTCCCTCTCTCTCTCCCGCTCTCTCTCCCGCTCTCTCTTCCTTATACTAACTGTATAGATCGTAAGTCCCTTGGACTGTATTATACACTCGCGCATTTATTCTAGCATAAGCCGTTCTCTCTATTATATTCCACTCTCAATTATATTCCCTTCCCTTCCTATCTCTCTCTCTTTCTCTATATATATATATCTCTATCCTACGCTTGTTAGTCTTTACTTATCGAAGACTCTCTTTATTAAAATCCCCTTTCTATTATATTTCCTCATATTTCTAGCTTACTGTTGTGCTGTCTCTCTCTCTCTCTCTCTATGCTATTCTAGTTTTCAACTTATCATCTCTCTCCCTGTCTCTCTCTCTCTCTCTCTGTCCGTAGAATATTATTTTCCCTTCCTATATCATCTTGCTTTGTATTGTGCTCTTTCTCTCTCTCTCTCTCTCTCTCTCTCTCTGTATCCTACTCTTGTTGTCTCCCTCTCTTTATCCTAATCTTGTTGGAGCTCTCTCTCCCTCTCTTTCTCTATCCTACCCACTGTTATTTTTCTTAATTTATTATCTCTCAATCCATTTTTATTCTACTTTCCCCCTCTCTCACGCTCTCTTTATCATTCCCTACCGTCTTCTCTCACCCTCACTTCTCTTCTCTTCTCACTTCTTCCCTCAATTCTTCTTTTCGGATAACAAACAAAAATGTTTCTATCTCTATCCGTCTAGCTTCTGTTCCAATTGTCTTTTCGACAGCTGTTGAAACACAAACATGAAATTCATCAGGTGCCAAAGAGGCGACAGCTCGACTAGGCGATACCCTGTAACTAAATCAAAATACAAATATCTAGATATACTATTAATGATAGGCTAAGCAACATCTGACTGATGGGCATATATATATGAATCATTTCTATATATAGATCAGGCTGGGAATTTGTGGGATCAGAAAATTTGGAATTTCTCGAGCGTAAAAGGTAGACAAGTTCCTACAATACCCAAACACAATTCTTCACCAAAAATGAAATAATAAATTGAAGAAGTAAATATAATAGGTTAATTCCCGAAGTGGAGCTCGACGAGCCACAATACGTTTCTTGAAATTCAGTTGTTTCTAAGCTGTGCCCGATGTCAAGAGTCTGTCCAAAACAAAACTCGTGCTCTACTTAAACAACTGCGATCTAAGCCTAAAGTAAACAACAAAAAAATATAAAATAATTATTCTATTTGTTTTTTTTTTTTTTTAAGTATTATAATAAGAAAGTTGATTGATCTTACATCTAAGAGCGTGCAGCTAAAAGTGTCTAAGAAAAAGTAAAAAAAAAAAGAAAACTTGTTTTGTTTTTCAATATTTCCCAAATGGAAGTCCTTTCGGTATATTCGTCTATCTCCAAATTCGTTCCACTTTGTTTACGATAATAATTGCTCAAAAATGTTCCTGAACTCTGCCAGATAGTCATATCACATGCAATTAGAGCACAGCTCCTTGTTAATGGACATTTGCTGTCGAGTAAACGGAACATGGCAACTACTTGAATACCCTTACAAAAGTTTGAGCATAAATTTGGGCATACTTATTTCTTTGTGAATAGCTAAAACTCTTTAAATATATACCAATATTTGGTTTGTTTTATTTAAATTTAGTTGCACAGATTCTTCCTTAAGGGTATTCAATCGTCGCATACTCTTTCTTCATACTCTAAGCTCGGCTGTGTTCGGCTCACGTTCGCCCAAGAACCCGAAGCTTGCCCGCAGCTTCGGCTGCGCATTTGCCAGGGAATCGTTGATCGAGACACACCGCCAGCTCGGCCTATATTAGGCACAAATTTTGGATGCCCCAAGGATATAGTGTCCAGATTCCTGACCGAAGCGAGTCCTTGAATAACCAAAGTGTATGTATAATATTCGGAGTACTTGACTTTAACTGAATGCTATTCGAAAGTTAGAATGAATTTGCTTCAAATTGTGCCCCTATATCATCATAATATACTTAAAGCCAATGATCAATGCACATAAGAGTAGAGGCCAGCAAGAAAAGATAGTAGGTATTCGCTGGTACGTGCCCGCATAGGTAAACCCGCCATCTGAGTTTTTTTTCACGCTCGCAGATTGCGCACGTTGAGAGCTGGCGCTTTCTCCAGCAGGCGAAATAGAGCTGATCTGCCAAGAAAAAGAACTGCGCATGGATTTAGTCGGAAGCCGTCTTCCACACACGCCCGTAGACCTCTGGCTTTACGGAGCCGAGTTCCAGTTCGTAACTTCTTGAGAAAGTGAGTCGAAATCAATTTCGAAGCGAGAAAACAGTTCAAGAAACGATTATGTTTAGCAGAACGCGAGGTAAATACTAAGAAAAAGTGATTTTCGTACAAGAACTTATCCTATGTGAGATATGTCCTATGCGAACTCGGCGAACAGTGCAAATATCCTGCTGAAACTTCGTACAGCTGCTTTTTATAGCTACAGCTGGCATATATATCGAACCCAATCGGATCGGATTAGTATAACCCACTCGGATCGGTTTAGTATAACCCACTCGGATCGGTTTTGCGTAATATAACAGAGTTTTTTTAGCAAACAAAAGAGAAATCATTTCAAAGATTGAAAACTTAAAATAGAAAAGAATTTATAAATGGGAAAGTAAAGCTTTAATACCCTTATAGACATTTGCCCTGCACGATATATCGTGGAAAACAGAATATTTTTGACCGATTCCTCCCAGAGATCTAATTATATAGCAGTGCGATCTTGATAAGATTTGGCTCATATATAAACAGCATAGTTTAAAGAGTAAATGCCAGATTTGGTCAAGATAGCTTAATAAACGAAAAACTTTTTCATACAAGAGCATACTTTTCGACCGATAGTTTCTATGGCAGTTATATGATATAGTGGTCCGATGTTAAGAAGATATTGTATACTGAAACTTCTAAATGCTGAGTTTGATCAAGATATCTTAAAGTAGAAAAAAGTTTTCTATAGAAGCAGCTGCATTTCGAGCGATTGTTCCTATAGCAGCTATATGTTATAGTGCTCCGATTCGGCTAGCTCCGGCCATATATGCTGATTTTGAACAGAAAAACGAAACTAGGCAAAGTTTCAAGACGATAATTTAGAAACTGGGAGACAAGTTCTCATGGAAACGAATCGTCGGACATGTCTGATCTAGAATATATATGCCTTATAGACGCCGATATGTCTTCTTCTATGCTTTGCACATCCACCCTGAAAGGGTATTAAAAAGGTTCAACTACTTTTTTTTAGGGCTTTTATCAGCTGACCCAGAAACTATATAAAATGCCAGATTAATCCAGCTTTATCGCCGAGAGAACTGAAATTGTCAATTGTTTTGTTTTCTTCTTCAGCTTCGTTTTAGATAAAGCCCACTTTTTACTCAATTTGACAGTTTGGCCATTTGTGGTTTATGATGCAATTAAACGAAGGTGCTTTGTATCTTGAGAAGCGCGTAGATACTAGCTTTGAGGTCTTGTGCTCTTTTCTAATTATAACATATGAAGATATTTTATCAAATTTGTTTTCGTTTTCATTTTTTTTTTTATCTCTCTTTGATAATTGTACTGATTCCTGCAGCTGCTGCTTGTCAATTTTTTTGTTTTGTATTTAGTTCAATTTCCTAGCCAAGGCACAGAATCGTAAAAAAAAAGTTAACTAGAGTTAAAATTTGTTTTTAAAATCGCTTTTCCCAGCGCTTTCTAGGTTTTTACAATAAATGCCAAATGCTTGTTAGCTTCTCTTGCCCGGCGAGAGAAGCGAACAGATAGTCGTTAAATTAATCATAGAGTTTTATGTTCAACAAGAGTTATCTTGAAACGCGTTGATAGCGTTTGGCACTCATATTTCATTTTTGATTTACCCCAGCTGACAGACGTCGCTCCTCGCCCGCCCGAAACCGAAGCCAATTGTGAATACTCCCTCGACATGGCATTCAATCTGAAGGCTCTGCTTGCCATGATCTTTGTCTTTGTCGGCTGCTGCAGCAACGTCTACTTTCTGGAGCTGATCATCAAAATAGATCCCGGCGCGGGCAATCTGATCACATTCCTGCAGTTCCTCTTCATTGCGCTGGAGGGTCTCATCTTTACCTCCAAGTTCTTCACGGTGCGTCCCAAGATCGCGCTCAAGGATTACGTCAAGCTGGTGGTGCTCTTCTTTGGCGCGAATGTGTGCAACAATTATGCGTTCAACTTCAACATACCCATGCCCCTGCACATGATCTTCCGCAGCGGCTCGCTGATGGCCAACATGATCATGGGCATCATATTGCTCAAGAAGCGCTACAATCTGAGGCAATACAGCTCCGTGGCCATGATCACAGTGGGCATCATACTGTGCACTCTGGTCTCCAGTGGCGATGTCAAGGACAACACGCATCATTCGCTCAAGGTGGAGACCTCATTTTCGGACGTCTTCTGGTGGAGCGTGGGCATCGCTTTGCTGTCCGTCGCCCTGCTGGTCACGGCATACATGGGCATCTACCAGGAGGTCATCTTCAAGCGATATGGCAAACATCCCAGAGAGGCACTGTTCTTTACGCACATGCTGCCCCTGCCCGGATTCCTAATCATGGCCAGCAACATAGCCCAACACTGGAAGATAGCTGTTGCCTCCGAGACGGTGGCTGTGCCCATGCCAGGCATCAGCTGGTCCCTGGGCTTTCCGCTGATGCTCTTCTATCTGCTGTGCAATGTGGTCACCCAGTACATCTGCATCAGCTCGGTTTATGTGCTGACCACGGAGTGCGCCTCGCTCACTGTCACTTTGGTGGTCACGCTGCGCAAGTTCGTCTCGCTGCTCTTCTCCATCATCTACTTCCGGAATCCGTTTACCCTCAGCCACTGGCTGGGCACCGTTCTGGTCTTCTTTGGCACCATACTCTTTGCGGATGTGCTCAATCAGCTGCTGGAGACGTACAGGTTGCGCCTGGAGAAGCGCTTCGAGGCGGCGCCAAAGACCATTGAATACAGTCGCATTTGAGGCTTAAGCTAACATATACATACATATATCTATATATCTATGTATATATATAAATAATTCTCTTTATATATATATGTAACTGTTCCATGTACCTGTGGACGGACACGCATTTTATAAAGCATTCATTTAGGATAAGTAAACAAACTGTTTTTTTAATGGGACTCACTCAGCAAATAGTATGTGTGTGTGTATGTGTTTGTATATATATATATATGAGTTAATACTTATGGGAAATCGGAAAGAATCGTGTTATCAGTTCACACATTCGCACAAAAATGTTAACATGTAAAATTTAAATGCTCAGATAGGCACAGAGAACAGAACAAAACGAGTGGCAAAAATAAAAAAAAAAAAATTAAATAAAATATATCAGATATATATATATAAAAGGGATATTATATAGCATATCTATATATAGGTATAAAATACACGATTCGTTTGACAGTTGGACATGAATAGCTGGAATTATAACAGCCGCAAAAACGGTTGGCAAATTTAAGTACAACAATCCTATTGCTCATCCTTGTCCTTGGCGCCGTGCTTCAGAATGCGTGTGAATTCCAGATAATCAAATAGGCCATTCTTGATGGGCGCCTCACGGTACATCTCATCCACCTGGCCAGAGGAGAAAAACGTTAAGAAATGCAGCAAAACTCGCAATTGCAAGCACTCACATCTTCATCTGTGAAACGATCGCCCATTGTGGTGAGCAGCTCGCGCAGCCTATCCTCGGGCAGCACGCCCATGTTCTCCTCGTCGAAACAGCCAAACGCATTCTTGATGACATCCTCCGGATCGGTGCCCTGCAGCCGTTCACCGAAGAGCGTCAGAAACATGGTGAAATTGATGGGGCCCGGCGCCTCATTCATCATCCCATCCAAATAATCATCGGTGGGATTTTTGCCCAGCGACGCGAGCATATCATGCAGATCCTCCTTCTCCACGAAACCATCCCGATTCTGGTCGATCATATTGAAGGCCTCCTTGAACTCGGCGATCTGCGCCTGATCGAACATGGCGAACACATTGGATGTGGCGCGCTGGGCGCGTTTCTTTGTGGTGGCGCGACGTCCGGCGGTTTTGCGGGAAGACATCTTCGAGCTGTCTCTTTGTGTGTGTGTGTATTCGATATTGGTGATGTGTGTGAGTGTGTGTGTGCGGTTCGGTTTTCTAAAGCCAGAGCATGGAAAATGTAATAGGAATTAGTTGCAATCGAATATGTCTATATATAGCCAGGGCATTGCTGCAGCGGCAAGTTCAGCGCAAGCTGCAAACTGTGTCAACATAAAAATAAAAAATAAATACAAATTCAATAAGCAGCAACTGCATACGACAGCGCAATACCCTGTTAACACAGTGCAAGAGTCAATGTTGCCTCACAAAACTAACTGAATACAAGCTAAAAATAGCTTAGTCTTATATTTAATTGGGGTTATTTAAAAAAAATATTTATTCATTCAAGTCATCTCGCTATTAATTACTTATAGACAACAGTTAAGTGCCAACCAATATACCCAGCAACACTTTGTGAGCAGAGTATAAAAACAGACACCGCACACATACACACACACAAGTAGCCGCGGCAGCGAAATACATGTGTGTGTGTGTGTGTGTGTGTGTGTGTGTGTGAGTCATGCAGCCAAAATGGCAAAAATGACAACGTCAACGACTGACTCCATATGTGTATGTGTGTGTGTTTATCAATGCGGTTTCGTTAAATTTCAATGAATTACAAAAAAAAAAGCACACACAGACACAAATACAAGCGCAGCCTCGCTTAATTGAAAGCCCATAAAAGGAATGAAAACAGCAGCCGAAAAGCGCGACTTCTGTGTGCGTGTGTCATCCACACACACACACACAGAGACAGTTGCGTGCAGCTGCTGAAAATAAGCCACAGCCGCGCCCCATTTGTTGCCCCCAAATGCGCTGCTATCACGAATTCCACGTAAATCACTTACAAAGCGTTCAACTGTGCTCTGCTGCTTGTTTTCTTTTATAGGGCCGCGACGCTGACTCATACATACACAGACACACAGACGCAGCACAAGCAGAGCGCTGGGCAGCGCAGCAACTGAACGATCGCCGCAATATCAGCTTTGCATTATTGTTGATTGCATTCTTTTCTATTTGGCTCAATTAATTGCACTTATACTCACAGCTGCCGAAAGGTACGTCTTGTTTTTAATACTTTTAATTAAACTGTTGCCGCTGCAGCTAATTTCTTGTGTTGTATGATGTTTGCACAGATGACAAATGCTGTTTGTATCGATATGGACGATAGCTTTTATATTCGATACGATAAATGCACTTCCAGCGGACAGGCAGCTCTATGCAGTGTGACCGTATTTTTCTTTTTTGGTATTTTAACATAACAGCTGTGATGTTAAATTATTGCAAAGTAAGCGAGCGACCATAAAGAAGTATCTTTTTTGTTTTGTTTTTGTATTAATTAATACAAACAATGCAGTCTCAGTCTCTTAATTAGTTAGTTAGAATGTATTTCTGCTATT